AGTTTGTGTACAAGGGGTCGTATCTTGGAGTCTTGTAGACCATCAGTACCTGCACGTAGGGAGGCTACAAAGGCTTTAGGACAGCGTCTTTGACGTGCTTCACCGTACCAAACTCACCTTCTTACCTATTATTTATTTTCCTTTTATTTCCCTATTATTTTGTTTTCTTCAATTTCATTATACCTTCAAGGCTTTTCAATTTGTTTATATGTTATTTATAATATAAATATTTTGTATTTGGCTTTACGGAAAGAGGGAAACTATTATTTTTCACAACAAAAATCCTCTTCCCTTGATGGAGTAATTGACGAATCTTGTTTTTCTGATCTAGCTGTCTGTGAAAATTGGAAGCATCGTTATGCAGTTTAAAAGACCTTAGCTAGTTTTCTAGCTGGGGAAGCGGTTTGGAATTTCCAAATGTCAACTGAATTGTGATGTTTTTGCAAATTTGCAATAAATCCAGGATTGGTGGTTGGTCCTCACTTACTGATAACTCTGAATACAAGTGTGGAGCCAGTTTTAAAACTCATAAGTGGAACCCAAAATTTGGCACTAGTAACTATAGATTGCTGTTAGAAATGCTGTCTGTCTTCTAGCCTTTAAGAATCCTTTGTCTGCTGGGAGATGTTTATTAGTTGGTAGAGAAAAGTCAGAGAGTATAGTATTGTCATATCAGAAGAGTTCAGATATGGTGTACAGGTTTAAAATAGATGTAATAGGTAGACATAGTAGATATGTAATGAGTAGACACAGATTGTTATGAGGTTATGAAAATCTGTTATGATATCTTCTCTACTATAGGATCTTATTTTTGGATGTTGATGCCCTTGTATCCATCAAGGGCGAGGAACACCTGGCCAATCTCATTGAGGAATATGATATATCCTCCTTCCTCATCTTACAGTTCTTCAGGCTCTAGTCCCAGATTCCCCATGCCGTCGCCACACTAATGACTCCATCAAATCTTGTCTCCAGTGTTCCTAGCATGGGGGAAGAGAAAATTTACTCAGAGGTTGTGCTGCCATATTTTTTTATTTTATTTTAAACAAAAGATGCTGTTTGGGCCTGGCTGGGTAAATACAGGTTGTAGATTAAAATCTGCACCCTTCATTTGATCAAATGGCAGATAGCAAAGATTGGCAACTTATTTGCACTTTGCCATCCATATTAGCGAAAGGCTCTACATTGTTTGAGACTGTCATTCCATATATCAATTGTGTTGCATGCATGGATAAGTTTTGAGACAGATTTGGTAATAGAAAGATTGAGGTGTTTCTGGTGAGAGTTAGGTTTCTGTATGTGGTTTTCTAGCCACAATATAGAGGTCTGCATTAATTGTTTAGACTTGGCCACTGTCTTGGATAAACAAAAAAGATAGTAACTAATCATCTTAAGTGGAAGTTCATAATAAATAGAGTAACTAATCTTACTGTTGATCCCTATTGACAAATTTGATTGGGTCGCTATTGATCTTACAGTCCTGTAGTTGAAATGGGAAGAGGAAGATATAGCTACATTGAGTTGATTTTTTCCTCAGTAACATGCACGCAATATGCACCAACAATCCCAAATGACTGAAACATGCAATATGCGTTCTGTTGTAGTATGGTATGTAGTTTGCAAGCTGTCTATCTGGTTCAATTGGATTTAGACTTTATTCAAAATTCAAATGCTAGCATGATGAAAAAGGTTCTTGTTTGGTTTCTTTTACTTCCACAGACACATCAAAATACTGATAGGATGTTTCTGTTAAAAATGAAACAGGACTATGTTCAGCTCCATCTCTGAGATTTGAGGCCCTGTGCAGGGATAAATAATGAGTCCTTTTAACACTCACACAAAGAAAACGCATGTGAAACTGAAGCAATCAACTGAAATTATGAAATCAAAATAGCTAGAGGGAGAAAGATTCAGAATTTTTACCTTTAATTTTTGGAAGATACTCATATTGCTAAACAAACAGGTGATACAATGTACATATCCACTAAACACTGGAGCTAAAACCAAATGACAAGACATATAGAAGCTAAAGTGAAATTAGAAATAGAAGCTAAAGCGAAATTAAAAACAGAAACTAGTGAAACACTTGATATCCAGAGGCTTGTGGTGGAAACTTGAAGCGCTGAAGAAGAGTTGCCTTTGATAGTGTAGCGGGCAAGTCCTTCTTCTTTTGTCACAAAGATTGAAGATCTTCCAGTTTGAAATCTACTCTATGAAAGAAGATTAAGAATATCAATCTTAGAATGACTCCATAATTTTATCAAACAGAGCAAACAGGACAAGATGTTCAATTTCTTATAAAACATATCATGTGCGTGCAGTGGCATTGAGATTATAGAACTCAAATACAAGATTTCTTTCATAATTATAGCAACCAACAAGCATTCTCACAAGCTTTTGATATATCCCCAAAGAACACTGAGCACATGCTAGAGACTTCTGCTCACCTGGGGGCTCTTATTAATGTTGGGGACCTGTGCAGTTGTACTGGCGGCCCTGATTAATGTTTCATTTCTGTAGGAATACCTCTTTCTTGAACTAATTATAATATGTTTCTATTATTGGATTAACTTAATAGTGTTGTTTTGATGGATTTTGCAGTTATGATTACTCTGGCTATGGACAGTCAACTGGGAAGGTGAGATGCCTAGGCCCAACGGTGCTTTCATAAGATGGCTAGCTTCTTATGATTAGTTATGGTTTGTCCAACTCCATATGGTGCAGTGCATAATATCAGCTGTCCCTTTGTGTGTGCATTGTTTTTTCTTTTTGGTGAGGGGGTGATATCATTGTCTTTTTTTTCTTGTTAAAAATATTAAGCTGCTCCTCAGGCTGTCAAAGAAATTACTATACTTTTATTTGGATGGCAACTTTTAATTGCGGATTGACATGTGAAGGAATACTTTTGGGGACATCTTTTCTTCTTAGTCATGTACTGGGGAATTTTAAATTTTAAATTGAAACAATAAATTTTGTTGAAATCTTATTTCTGGGCACATAATGGTAGAGAATTCGAGTATAGATGCATTATTTGAGGGCTGATTTTAGAAAATTAAGGTTGGAGTTTCTTTAGCATGTCAAAATCATTGTGTTTGGTTGTTGATTTTCGAGTAGAAAAATGGACTGTTGCTCGATTTAGAACTTCAGATAAATTGGCATCAAAGAACTCCTTAATTGAATTTCACCATATTACATAGTATGTGGACTATAACTATTGACCAAATAAGTTCATCACAGATTAAGTTCTTCCATTGAATTGTAAGGAATTTTAAGTGTCAAATCTGACCCTGGTTCAATTGGATCACATCCTAAGTTGAAACACACATCTGCTTATAACTTCAAAGTTTCAAATCCAACTGGGCATGGGTAAGAATTGATAAAAGTGTGAGTCATGCAGCATCTATTCACGAGTGAGATAAGTTAGCATAGTTTAGGAAAAAAACCTATTTTTATCCATATTTTTATTAAAATCAAAGGCCAACAATTGAAAACTTGGCACAAAAAATTAATAACAAATACTTGAGGAACTCCTTCATCACGACCTCTTTCCTAGCTAGTTGCAGACCTGTGAATTCCCAGTTTGTTCATTAACTTGGCTTTCTCGTCTCTCACTCTGAACTTTCCTCTAAAAGAAGATGCAAATTCTTCTATTTCAATCTTCAAACCTCCTCCTTTTGACCATCAGTTTCTTCATTTCGATCAACATACAGTTTTGTCTATGTGGAGAAGATCCACAATATGCAAACTGCAGAAAAGCTATTAACTGTGGCGGCATCGAAGACATCTGGTACCCCTTCTGGGGAGTCAACAGAGCAAGTTACTGTGGTAAACCTGGGTTTGAAGTTCAATGCCTAGACAATGTCCCGGTGATCAACATGGTGAATACCAGCTTCCGAATACTCGAAATGAACCCGAAAAATCCTCGTACTGTTAAGGTTGCAAGGCAGGATTATTGGAGCACAATCTATCCCCAGAGTACTTTAGTCAACACCAGCATCAACGTCTCTCTGTCTAATTATGCTTCTGGGCTTGCAAACCTGACCTTTTACTACGGATGCAATACAAGTACACCATCTATTAATTCACAGGTTTGCACAATAAACGGCAGTGATGTCAGTGTGGCCTTTCATCAAACAGGTGATGAGCATCCAGTTGCTAACGATACCTGCAAAACTGAGGTGCTTGTTCCAGTTTTTAAAACAGCTGCTCTGGCTCTTGAGAACAATCAAACAAGCGTCAAAGATGCGGTGGATGAGGGCTTTGAATTGGGGTTGCAGATTGATAATGACCAATGTAACTATTGTGAGGGATCAGGAGGAACATGTGGGTATAATCATAAGGGAGTTTCACTAAAACACCCAAAATGGAGGTTGAAATTATAAAAAAACCCAAAACCCAAAACACTTTATAAACACACCCAAAAAGTTGACTTTATGGTTGATTTTGGGTGTGTTTCTATGTTTAAATAGTGCTTGAATTTTTTTATAAATACATGTCTAGGATTGGGTTTATTTATAAATTTGTATAATAATAAAACTACAACTCATGGTGGATTTGTTTGTTTTTGCAAAGATCAGCCCTATGCAATCACATGTGCAGTAAAATCAGGTATGTGTGTATCTCTTGTTTGATTTGGAAGATGCTAAGAACTTCTAAATCAGTTTAATACTAGAAATTTTTTTCCCTTGCTAGTTAGGTCTTAGGTCATTGTTTTAGCTCATACTTGTGTGAGAGAGCTTGAGGGTTAGACTTTGCATTTACAAATGGTGCATTTTGTTTAATTTAAATTATTTGAACAATCGGTTAGACTTGTTACAACATCATTTAGCCTAATTTTTAAATTGAAATGGTGAAATTTAAAATTATCGAAACTGTAATTATTAAGATTAGACTAGTTGATGAGGCAACAAATCTAACCATTAGATTGTTGTAATGGTTTAGATCAAACGGGATGTATGTAAATACACTATTTGTATATGTAGAGATTGGGAATCTACTAGGGACATAGTAAATTCAAGCTTTTTACCACCTTTAAAGATTGCTAATACTGATGTATGTAAGGGACTTATAGCTTAAGTGGTTAAGAGTAGTTATCCTGCATCGATGTCGCCAATGCTGGAGTTCATTTTGATATTAAAAGAAAGCTCTGTGAACAACATATTTGATATTAAATCGAAAGCTTTACAATCCTATCAGGGTCTTATTAATCCATATCATATGCATTTATAACTGAATGATTAAAAATGTTAATTCCAATTTAGTTGTACAAGTCAACATATGCTTTCAAATTAATATTGAAGACCAGATAAAACAATTAATAAGTAAAGTCAAATGTCTGACCATTGATGGCATGCTACATCACCAACTAAACGAATTTTAGGCCTATTTAATTATTTTAATTATTTCGATCCCCTCTTTAGTCCTCAATAACATTTATTTTGGTCTTTACATCACACCTTCCCTTTTATTTCTATGATTTCATCCCAATTGACGAATTTTAAGTCCCTTTAGATTTGAACTTATCAAACATAAGATTCAGAGCTTCCATTCCAGATTTCTCACATGGTTGACTTTTAATTGATGCCAACTAATGGGTCGCATGCAGAATAATACCATAGTCTCTCATCATTAATGATTATTTGTACATATTTGTGGCAGATATTCAGCGCAAGAAAGGGATATAATTCAAATACCGGATCGTCTAGTTTTCAAAACTTCATTCGTAAATTGTTCTTACGACAAAATTAGCCATATCAAATATTATTGAGACATCTAAATGTCATAAACGAGCACAATAATAATCAAATGGTTAAATGATTTTCGATCCAATCGATTTTCTGCAAGAACAATATTTGGCTAATCTTTTGTAAAACATCTACAAATGAAGTTTTGAAAAATAACAGACTTCAATTTTCTTGAAAAAGAAATACATATATATATAACATAGACTTCAAGTTTCTTCCTTTTGAAAATTAATGAACTGCCTAATTAACTTGCACACTGTTTGGATACAGCCTTTTGGACAGGTGTTGGTATAACCATCGGCGTCATTTGCATCATATTCATATCAAGGAAAAGGAAGTTCTTCTTGAAGAGGTACTTCAAAACGGAGCACAGGTATGAGCTTGATATCGAACAAGTTATACAGAATTATGGCTCGTTTACCCCGAAGCGGTACAGTTATTCAGATGTAAAGAAACTCACAAACTCATTCAAAGATAAGGTTGGCAAAGGAGGATATGGCACTGTATACAAAGGAACCCTACCTGATGGCCATCTTGTGGCAGTCAAAGTCCTAAACGAGCCAAAGGGTAATGGGGAAGACTTTATTAATGAAGTTGCAAGCATTAGTAGAACTTCCCATGTCAACATAGTCAAGCTTTCAGGATTCTGTTATGAGAGGCATAAAAGAGCTTTGATCTATGAGTTCATGCCTAATGGATCCTTAGACAAGTTCATACATAAGCAAGGATCTTCGAACACAAATTTTCCTCGTTTAGAATGGAAAATGTTATTCGAAATTTCAGTAGGCGTCGCACGAGGGCTGGAATACTTACATCGTGGTTGCAACACAAGAATTTTGCATTTTGACATAAAGCCACAGAACATTCTTCTGGACAAAGACTTCTGGCCGAAAATCTCAGATTTCGGCCTTGCCAAATTATGCAAGACGGAGGAGAGTATTGTGTCCATGTTGGGAGCGAGAGGAACAGCAGGATACATGGCGCCAGAAGTATTTAGTCGAAACTTCGGAGGAATATCTCCGAAATCTGATGTTTACAGCTACGGGATGTTGGTTCTTGAAATGGTTGGCGCAAGAAAGAATTTGGATTACGGAGGGTCTCATACCAGTGAACTGTTTCCACATAATGTTTATAAAGATCTAGAGCTAGAGAAGGATGAAATTATCTTGGAGGGCATATCAGAAGGGGGAAAAGAAGTAGCAAGAAAGTTGATATTGATAAGTTTGTGGTGCATTCAAACAATTCCATCTGATCGGCCATCAATGAGCAAAGTAGTAGAGATGCTGGAAGGGCCCCTTCATTCTTTGCAAATTGCACCGAAGCCTTTCTTATTTTCTAGTCCAATATCTGGTGGAGACTCATCCCAACCATCTGTGAGAAGTTAAGGAAGTTGGCTTTATTAGCACTTTCGTTTTTCTATTCTTTGGTTGGTTCTTTTTTCTTTTTCTATTGTATGTGCGTTACCCTTCACTGAGCAAAATTATTTGATGTATCAACAGTGTAAGCCAAGCATACAAGAAAGACAGAAGTATAAACCTTGGCCACTATGGAAAAATATTGATAGAATTAATTTTTTCTAATTACAGTAAGAAATATACCTCGTTTTAACAAGAAAAAAGTGATCCTTTCTTTTGTTAATCATCAGATTACAATCACATACAACCCAGCAAAGTTGGAGCACATACATACATATAACTAATCGGCTAGACTTAGGCCAGTCCTTCGACTTTTCAAAGTTTGAGTGTCCAGGACTTTGAATGGAAGGCTGATAGAGTGGCAAGCCAGAAGGCTGCTGGAGTGGCAATGCTGCTTTACAGTGGCTCAATTGACTGTATTCGGTCAGGCCCTTGCCTTTGCTTCACGAAAAGGTGTTGATCACCATCGCTAGCTTAAGATATTTGGGGACTTGTTAATAAGTGCATATTGTGATTTGAGACAGATTAGGAGTGTGAGGATTCCACTGGAGCATCTCAACCAGAAAGGTGTAGATTTGATGAACTTCCTGAAGAAATAACTGGAATCCTAGAGGCCGTTGGACGCCTCTCTCTTTCCCAAGTGTGAATCTTCAATTTTTGCACCTAGATAATCTTTATCATTTGGATGACAAATGAAACAACAGAACATGCATAGGAAAGAAAATTCAGATATTTATAATAGTTAACCTGATCTATAAATAATCCAAATATGAAGCTAGGAGAATGAAAATGAAAGAACTTCGCATATATACATCATAAACTTGGTCCAAAATAAGATATGAGAAGCTACTCAATCAATGTCGCAAGCAACTTCAAAATACTTGGGCTAAATTCCCTCTAATAAAAGTAGATGAAATTGAGTACTTACAGGAAGAGGGGTTGTGCATCCAAACATCTAAGACCCCAGGAGATCTCTGTCAATTCTGGAAGAAAGCAAGATATAAAAAATGTCAGTGGAAGAAACCCGTGGCATATAGAGAGATGTTATCACATAGACTAGACTGTAAGATTTGCTTCTTGTTTAAAATCAACATCTACCATCTTTGAGTTGGGAACATTTTGTAATATGCAAACTCGACAAGCTGTGGCAGACTGAAACGACAGAGAAAAATTATTTTGTTTCCCCCACGGTGATTGGCTACGTTCATAGACAAGAAAGGAACGTAACTATATGTAACTACCATGTTACACCTTCAAACAAATTTCAAAGATACATGGGATGGATAAAACCAATCCACATGCACAAAGAAAGAACTTGAGGATTAGTTTCGGTAGATGATAAAACTTAGAGCCCAACATAAGCGCATCCGTCCAGACTAGATTTAGATCCAAACAACAAGAGAAATCAGAGAAGAAGCTTTAGGGGGGTGTATTCAATTGAGATTTTAATAGATTGTAATTACATGATTTTAATGTAATGGATTTCAGCCGGATTTGTAATTATATGATTTTACTCATGATTTTAATAGATTGCAATTACATGATTTTACCTATACTTCTATACAAGCTTGAACTCTACCACCCATCATCATTCACCTAAATATATAATCTGAAGGAATATACCCAATTTTTAGGACACAGATACCCAATTTTTAGGGTTAATATAAAGATGGAGGCACAGTAACCATCAAAGGTTAGTCCAGAGAGAGTACACCGACATCAACAATGTAACTCCCAACATAGCCACACATGACCAGAATGAATACGTTAAAAAAACACAATATAACTGAGAAACCAACAATAGAAATACAAAAGCATAAGTAGAGGCTAGAAGCTACATCCATAACCACCAACATCTAATGTAAAACAGATAGCATTAGAAATACAAAATAAAGAAACGTACTAGCCCAACCCCATGACTACTCCAGTTTTTGTCAAAGCTTGGACCAAAACTGTGGAGTGAAAAAAACACATTGCACCTTATCAACATTTCTTCTAGATTGTGGATAAGGCTTCTTCTTTCTTTTTTTGTTTTATCCTGGTCCCAAACGTTTTGGGACAGGGAATTAGAAAAGATATTTTCCCATGTGCGTTGTATGTGCAGCAGCTACGCATAAATTTTTTTTATTTAAAAAATCCTCTTTGAGGCATTAGATCAAGGAACTTGTGGGCACACCGGTAGAGTTGTGGAGGGCTGTAACTCCTTGAAAGGAAATGTCTACAATGAGCAGGAGATTTTTTTTAAAAAAAGTATCGAAAATATAATTTTGCTCCAAATAAGCTTGTCTACAAGGAAAGAAGAGCTATTGGAAAATGCCCATTAGCTCCAGAAGAGGCAATATCGTCTTTCTTGCTAATGTTTCTTTATCGTCTCTTTTATGAAAAGTTTTTTTTATGTACAGTCGAAAGCATACAAAAATAGTGGGAAAAAAAAAGTATGAAAGCATATATGAGAATCATGCATAGGAAATGAGATTTGTTATGTGATTTGGTATTTATATCACACACTCAAAATTCTCACACAATATCATTTAATGAAATACCTCAAAATCAGTAAGTTTTTGAATACCACGGTACTTTTTCTTATCTTTTAAAAGTCATAATTGAATACCACTAGATTTTTATTGATTACTTAAAAATCCTAATTGAATACCCCGTACTTTTAAGTTTCAAAACAATCAATTAAAATCACAATTGAATACACAAGTTTCACAGACAGATTTGACAGATCTACGCAGACAAGAAGCAAGAAAACGAAATTTTTATCATCAAACACACGTAAATTAAGCACAGAAATTAACATGGCAAAGATAAACAAAAGAGACAAGGATATAGAAATATACTTCTGGTAAATCATTGATTCGATGTTTAGGAGAGCCTGAGATCGATGTTTAGGAAACCTGAGCTCAGGCTCTCCGGTAGAAATGACACCATCATCAGACTCTTCATCTCGGGCTTCAGACGGCTCAGATGTCTTCACCATTCTCTCTCTTTGGAAGCTGATCAATCCAAAACCCTAATTAGTGATTAGAGTGTGAGAGATGGCTAAGTACCCTTTAAGTTTTTATAGATGAGGACGAATGTTCTAGAATAGTGGTTTTGCAAAACATAAGGCTTCAATGCTAGGGGTAGGGGTATTAGGTTAACGTTTTCAACACAGCTGTCTTGGTTTATTTTTTGGACTGAGCTGTCTGGTATTAGGGTTTTTAGGGTGGGCTTTTTTTTTTTCATTATAATGCTTATTTTTCTTTAATTTTTAAATATTTTTAATGACTCTTTTTTAATGCAACTACTGTTCTACTTTGAACTCATGATTTACTCTAACAAATGGTATTACATCAAATGATTATAGACTTTTCTTCTAAAAATTTCTCTGTTACTTTTAAACAGATTAATTTGATGCGTACATTTCGAAATTTCACTACTACAAAAAATGAAAAAGACGACCAGAAAAAGACGACGGTAACAAAAAGCCGTCGTGGATAAGTGACTTAAACAACTAAAAACAGAGGTACTGTTGAATATTTTTTTATAACGACGCACACAAATAAAAAAGCGTCGTCTTATTAAAAAGGTTTTCTTCAAAGTTAAAATCTGACTAAAAAACAACGACAGCAAGTATGACAAGCGTCGTTTTTTAAATATCAAGTGTCCTTTTTTTGGTAAAGACATGGTTGTTTTGAAAGAATTGTCGTCTATTATATGTAAAAATGATGGTTTTTTTTAAAAAGGGTCGTCTATTATGAAGTAAAGATGACGGTTTTTTTTTTAAAAGGTAGTCTATTATGAAGTAAAGATGACGGTTTTTTAAAAAATGTCGTCTATTATAAAGTAAAGATGATGGTTTTTTTTACCTTTGAGTACATGTTGGTCTTTTCTACTTTGAATCTCTTGATGTAATCTCGAAGGGATTCATCGGGCTTCTTGCGCAGGTTGTACAATTGGTCTGGGTTCTTCTTGATCGTCCAATAAGAAGTGTACTCTTTGGCGAAGACATAAACAAGCTCCTTGAAGCTGCTGATCGACCCGGATGGCAAGGTATGGAACCAGTCCTGAGCTACTCTTCGCAAGGTCATTGCAAACTCCTTGTACATTAGCGCGTCTTCGGCTTTGTAGAGGATCATAAGGCTCTTGAAATGATTCATATGGTTTTCGGGATCTAAATCGCCTTTGAAGCATGTGAAAGAGGGTGTTGAGAATCATTTCGGGGGAGCAGCCTGCTTGATTTTGACGGTGAAAGGTGAGGAGTTTGCTCGATCTACCTCCATGCGAAGTGCATCTTTGAAATTTCCTCCAATCTTTAAGTCTCGAAGTCAGTTATTCACAAGCTTCTTAACTTCTTCTGCACACATGGCTGGTTGGCCACATTGATGACCTTTACGATTTGGGCGAGATTGATTAACTTCCTAGTTGGTTTGCAAGGGTTGACTTTCTCGGTTGCTCTGCCTAGGAAGCATATTGGTGGACTGTGTGTAACACCCCGACTCCAAATTTATTGCCAATTTTAATTTATTTAAGTGAAATTACGAAATTGCCCTTGGGGTAGGGGTAATTTGGCATTTCTTATCCGGTAGGAATTTGGAAATTTCGACTATACCGTTGCGTAGAGCATGGCGAGATGAGTCCGTAGAGACGTAGCGGGCTTAAATTGGAGCTGTAACGAAGAAGTTACGGGCAAAACATCACTAGTGGCAAAATCGTAAATATTTTGAAATGGGTTTTTGTTTAAAAGACATGGTTGTGAGAAAAAAAGACACACCCCCCCCCCTCTCTCTCTCTCTCTCTCTCTCTCTCTCTCTCTCTCTCTCTCTCTCTCTCTCTTCTGGTTCGAGACGGCTGAAACAGCCGACCACGTTTTGGCCAGTCGTGCTCTCGTCCGGCCACCAAACTTGATGGGGCTGGTACCAAAATGACCGGGCTGCCGTCCTCTTCCTACCCCAGCCAGGTCTCGCCGCCAGCCGTCGGAATTT